TGCATCCACTGTAGAAAAAGCCACTGAGATACACCTACAGTATCTGTGAATCAAACCAGGGAGGCAGTATGGGTCGCAGCTGCCTTCGGGAAAGAAGCATATACTTGGCTGCAAATTCAGGTCAGCTCCCACATTGCGTCTGAACTGACCCTTATTTATCTAGTTTAGCACTGAAGGAAGTGAATGTTTCTATCATCGGAACTTTCTGTTTTGTATGTACTGTATTTAATTAACCCTGAAGAAGGATCTGAATTATTTTTCAAATGCCTTTCTGGAGGAACCTTAACGAGAAAGTCAACCTTCAACCTTTGTTGTGCGTTTTTTCCCCGCACAGATTAGAGCAAAATATCGTACAACCTGTACTAACACAAAATGTTTTCTGTGCTGTTCTATACGTGACAGTCGCTTAAAGTCTTTTTGAGACGAGCTTCAGACAGCCGGTGAATCAAGTATTTTGTCTGGAAATAATTCCATGTAACATGTTTAGTTTGGATGACGTTCAGATCCTTGTAAGCGGCTGTTGTCGTCAGCACGCAACACTGAGAATCACGTGGCCTTTAAAATCCCAAGCAACTTTGAAATATATATGTATATTTTAACAAGAATGTCTCAGTGGCTTTGTTCTTGTCTATGGAGTTTGGACAAGGGGTGGGTCAAGAGCAGCCTTCCAGATGTTGTATTGCAACGAAGCACTCCTTCACTTGTCTGTATGCTGGTGGGCGTTGGAGTCCAAGAACATCTGGAGGGCCAGGGGCTGAAGAAATTGCTCACAAAGACTATACTTGAATGTTTGTGTCTGGTTTTGTCTGTATGGTTTCATTGTTACCCTAGACTAGGGACGTGCCATTTGTTTTTCTTGGACACCCAGAATTCTCCAAGAATTTCTACAGGCACAATTTGGGAGCCTCAGACCCTCACCTACAGACACCCTCATTTCACTCGCCTTGACGCAGGGCCTCTCTCTGTCTGAGCCTGCACGGCTGTCACAGGCCTTGCTTCCTGTTGCTAATGTACAAAACAGGAAGCGGATGCTGTACCTCCCAGGGTTCACCGCCTTGCTGCCCTTCAGGCTCTGTCGAGGGTGCCTCCCAAAGAACTACAGCTCCAAAAACACATCGTAGCAACTTCCTATTCTGCACAGTATCAACAGGGCCTTCCCTATGCCTTTACTGTTGACTACGTGGTTAGGCTTGAAGGGAGCTGCAGTCCAACCACATCTGGAGGGCCTCGCTTTGCTCCCCCCCTGGAGTAGCGTGTTCTCCTTAACAACATCATCTTTCTCCACTCTCTTGGTGGCCAAGGGAGAGATTTTAGAAGACTCTTTAACTCTCCCTGCTATGCAGGAGGCAACGTTTCCTGAGGTCTTTACTAAGCGGTAACTTCCCCAGCTAGGAAACAGATGAACCGCAACCCGGCTTGCAGTACACAGATCTCCAGGGAGACTTCCCTTATAAGGAAGGCCCGAGGCTGCAGTGAACCAAAGCAAAAGCTTCAGTGAGCATCCAGCCCCAGGCCTCGAGCTTGCATCTCGCCACAAGCACCGTGTAGCAAGTGGTGCAGAGAGAGGAACTAATGCTTGCATCTGCTCAGAAGTCAGACCGTGGACTGCATCTGACTTCTTAATGGCTCGAACTGGCCGGAATCACAGCAGAAACGGGGAAATCCATGCTGTGCTGATTTCCTGGTCATTATAGCTCCCGGCATGACTAGTGTAGGAGAACTGAACACAGAGAATCATAGAATAATTGAGTTGTAAGGGGCTTATAAGGCCATGGAGTCCAACCCCCTGCTCCATGCATGAATCTAAATCAAAGCAGATCTGACAGAGGGGTGCCCAGTTTTCTCTTGAATGCCTTCAGTGCTGGAACGGTCACCACCTCCCAAGATCGTGGGAGTTTTTTTTTAAAGGTACAAATTTACAGAGGAAGAGGAGAGAGGTAGGCTTGAGGTTTATGTAGCAGAGGGACATAAACCCCAATAGACTCTTTGTCCATGAGGTGTTTTTATAGGTCGCATGGGTTATTATTAAAGGCCTTGCCACGGGCTTATGGGGCAGTCTGGAGAGGAACAGGGGGCTCCCCTGTTCTGGAATATTTAGGGTGAAGCAGGGGACTTCAGGAAATCTGCGCTGAAAGCAAGCATAAGAAGAAGCCCGTCAGATGGGAGAAAAGTCAACGCAGGCCAGTAGTGGGAGATGTTACTGGTCCCAAAGATTGTGTGGTTTCCCAACCAGATCTGACGAACCAAAATGTCAGGAGCCGCACCGACACATACAGGAAGATTCAAAGGGAATTTGCAGCAGTGGTAACACAAGACCTGGTGCCTTTTTTTTACAAGGGTGCATTGGTCCCATTTTTAAACCACACTGGGGCTTCCGTTGTCAACTGGGCAGCTCCCCAGATAGTGACATGCATGAGATGCTGCAAATACGGAGCCCTTGGAGCTGAGACCCAGGAGAGAACAGCGTGACTGCCCAACCGGTGCAAGGAAGGCTTCCTGGCCATCTTGGGACTGTCCAGTTGGTGACATTGATTTTGTTCGGGGTGTGTGTATGACTCCTGGAGTTCCTTTCCCCCTACACGACAA